CATATTCATTATTAAGTGAACTGATAGATACTTTTTGAGATTGTTTGTTTATGGCTTGGTCTTTGCCTCCACCTTGTACTCATGCAATTCATCTCAACTGACATAAGCTTGCCCTGTGCAAGAGAATTGAAGAGCTGGGAGTGAGAGGAGCAGCTGAGCTGCTCATAGGGCAGTATCAAAGGATGTCTAACAGCCAGCAATAGCAGATAGGGGAGGGGCAAGAAAAGTCTTGAAAGGGTTGGGGGTAAAATGAGGAAGTAGGGACAAAGTATTGCAACAAGAGAAAACAGGTATGATTCCTGCAACAGTTAAAAGTACCATATGAAAACAGGCATGGCTAGAAAGATGACCTAACAAAATAAGCAAAAAATGCACGGATCCATTTTTTAGTTTATGATGAGGCTGAAAGGTTCGTTTTATAAAACAAAGATTTAGGTTTCTGCTTGCTTTTAAACTTTTGATTTTGTTGGATCTGGGTCTAAGACATTATTTGTGAGCTTACACACCTTAAGGAAAGAAAGGTATTGGAATCTTTAACAAAGTCACACAACCTTACACTGGTGTCCATTAGGCTTTGGAAGAAAGTAGTGTTAAAAGCCACACAAGTGTTCAGCTTTGTCTCTTTCAATGTCAGCTCTAATCCCACTAATTCTCTAATCACAAGTCTTCCAAGATAGACACAATTTTAATTTCTAGTGTCAAAATATCAAGCAAATTTTCTTTTTGGACAGAAACCTTAACCTTTCATGCCATCCTAACATAAAAAAAGCTTTAAGGTAATTTTTTTCCCCTATGCATGTCACTAAGAAATTTGGAAGGGGTGAGGAAAGGAGCAAGAGGGGAAGGGAGAAAAGAAAATAGAGGATGAAGAGGAGAATTATAAAAGACCACCTGCACTGTTCAAGGTTACATGGGACACCCTACCATAGTGTATGACCATCTTTATAAAATTGTCTAAATTGTGTCACACCTCAAAGCAGCTTATGAAACTGAATTAAATGTTTTATTATTCTTTCAGATTTCTGAAGTGTCAACTTTAGTTACTCAGATCACAGAATAGGTGCCTATCTCAAATTAAACACAAAAAATAAGCAAAGGACTGCCCATAAAACTCTGTCCACCTCATCTCACTCCCTCCTTAAAAAAACTTTGCTGCATGCCTGAAAGATTAGAGTATCAGAGGGAATATTTAAGAACATAACACACAAACTGCCATACTGGGTCAGACCAAAGGTCCATCTAGCCCAGTATCTGGTCTTCCGACAGTAGCCAATGCCAGGTGCCCCAGAGGGAATGAACAGAACAGGTAATCATCAAGTGATCCAGTCCCTGTCACCCTTCCCAACTTCTGGCTGTACATAGAAGTGTTCTGAAAATGTGGAAAGCACTGGATTTAAAGTAAAAGTATAATTCCGTTTATATGCAAAAAACCCCACAAACCGTTGTTTAAGAACATGTTCTTCATTCTTTGTATGTTGTTTGTGTACATGCCAGTATGTTAACATAGATTAAAGAAAACTGAATACAAATACACAAAATTTGCTTAGAAATGGAGAATAAATATGGTTTGTATAACATTGTTTATCTAAGAATGTAACTTTACATGATCTTCACCGTACTGTGATAATTATGTATGATTTATTCACCCTATTTTAACAACTGGGAAAATGAATTAGATGTTAAGCAATTTGCCTGATCAGTTAGAACTGAAGCTTTCCTGGCTCTCATTCCTTTGCTCAGATGGAATCTCTCCTACACCCCATATTATTGAAGCATTATTTTAGTGGAAAAAAAGCTTTATTTTAAAGCTTAGGATACACTTGTTTTGCTTCAATAAGCTCAAAATTTTACTTCTGTGTAACATTGATTAAAAGTAAGTGGGAAAGATAGCATACTAATGCAAAACGCAAATGAATCAATGTTGTCTAGTCTTCGACATTAAAGCATGTGTCATCTTATTTCAATATGAATTAGAGGTAGCAAAAGATCCAATTATCACATCCTCAAATTTTGTATTCTAAATTTAGCACAAGTACACAAATTGTATCAAAAGTGGCAACAGATAATTATTTTCAATAGGTACTGGATGATGAGACCCCAGAGATGTTTAAAACAGTTTCTCAAGAATCTCTTACACCAGGTAAACTGGAAATTAATTTTGAGGAGTTACTGAGACAAAAAATGGAAGAAGAAAAGAGACGCACAGAAGAAGAGCGCAGGCAAAAGTTGGAAATGGAGAAGCAAGAATTTGAGCAGCTCAGACAAGAAATGGGAGAGGTTTGTATTCTCAAAAATAATTGAATGAAATGTCATACAGGGTTACCTCCCTGATAGCAAATAATGAATGGATCATTGCTTAAAATTCTAAAATTTGAAGATTTTAGGTATAGTCTCGTTGGTACTTTTTTTTTTTTAAATAAGTGTTGCCTAGATAGAAGGGAATGGAAAAAGGAAAACAAATCTAACACTAAAAAAAAATTGTTTTCCATTTGAAAACTTTTGTTCCCTTTTTCATTGCTTTGAATACAGATTAATACACTTTGCCCTCCCCAACTGAGAACTCCAGCACCTTTAGACTTGTAAAGCGGTCTACTTTCACAGTAGCTTCTGCAGGTTTCACTATATCCTCTGCTGAAAAGCTGTTTTGTAACTTCTTACAGCAGTACTTGGAGAATCAGATCTATAATCCTCCTATAGCTAATGTACAAAAAGATCATGATTTCCTCTTTCTAGTGTTCAGCTTACGATTTTGCCCTTATGAATTTTGCCCTATTTGGTGTTTTTTCTTAAAGCTCCAGATCCTTGAGTGATGCGATTATATAAAAAATCTGTTTTAATTTAAGACGTTTATAGGCCTTGTGCTCGCAGAGAATAAATTGCAAATGCTAAGAAACTAGAAGGTAAATTAAAATAACCCACGAATTATTTTTTGAAATCTCAATTATAAAATTAATCAAATGATTTTTGAATGCTTGGGGAGAGCAATAATTGGAGTTGAAAATACTGTCAAAACCTTCCAAAGTTAGCAAACAAGGAATAGGCAGCTCATGCGTGGAGGATCCAAGGTGAGTAATAAGGGCTTTAGGATTTGAGCTTTCCAAACATGTTCAGGATTGCATCTTAAACTAATTAGAGTGTACGATCAACACTGAAATGAGAGAGAAGAGGTAACTAGAAAAAACGTAAAGTGAGGGCAATGATTTAGTTCCAGTCCAAAATTGTTATGTTGTTGCTTATGGTTTTTTTCTATTTAATATATCCTTCCAACATTTTTAAAGCAGTAAGAATATCCACAGTTTGCCTTTTACTATTAAGTTGTATGCAGTTTAAATACATATAGTGCAACTTACCTGCACTGTGCTATCATGATTTTCTAAGAAATAGTTAAAGCATTACTTAAATTTTTTCTTTTTCAAAAGCAGCTTTATTTTTGGAGAGTAGGTTTTGTTATGGCATATTGCATTCGGTCAGCATTGATCCTG